GTTTTACATTCAAAAGATGTGATAAATTCAAACTAAAATGTACTAGTCATGGAGGTATGTATAGTGCGCATTATTCTGGAAAAATTAGCATAACGTCAAAACAGTGAATGTTGCAACGCAGAGTTTTGAGAGGTTCGTAGAATAGGCTTGTCTTGAAATTTTAAGATGATGCATTGAATCAATCTCAATGAAAGTTTCAGACCTTATTTATACATTATGAAGATTATGTGAAGAAGATTTTCAAAAAATTCGTTTGAGTCGTTTCAGAGACATACAACAGTGGCAGATCCAGACCTTCAGATAAGGGGGGAGGGGGGGGGGAGGGGCGGTCATCCAGACCCTCAGATAAGGGGGTGGGGGGGGTCATCCAGACCCTCAGATAAGGGTCCGGGGTCCGGGGTCCGGGGCCAGGTCTCCAAAAAAGATCCGCCACTGTACAAGAAAACGCTAAAATTCCAAATTTTAAATAAAGGTTTGATATATATTTTTTCGTCCTAGTCGAATTCAAACATACAGAATTTTTAACCTCTTACGGAGATTGTTTTCTCACCACCAAACTTTGTTGCAGTGTTGCATTTTCAATAGCTGGACTAGATCAAGCAGAAAACCACTTTTAAGGCGATTGAAAAATATCGGTATGGCCTCTAAAATAAAGCTGTATCGAAACACCTTAACAATGCACCAATAAGCATTAAAGATTTGATTCAACAAAAAAACAATAAATACGACCTCAGAGGAAACGATATTTTAAAGCGGCCAATGGCCAACTCTTCAACATACGGCCTTAAATCGTGGCGGTTTACAGCGCCAAAACTTGAAGAAACTCAATACCCGATTCATATAGAACTATACGACCTTTCAAGGCTCTCTGCTTCTCAGTTTCGTCATTTATTGATTATAAAACTGTGAATTAAATTCTCTTCTAACTCTCCCTCTAAGTTTTATTTTCGGTTTCCGTAGCCGCGGAATGACCTTCTCCGCGCGTCCAGTTGTAGGGCTTCATACGAAACGCTTTCTTCCCGGTTTGCGAACGCATTTGCGTGATGAGCCAAAGGAATATAATGTGTGACAATCTAGTCAGTAATCTGTTTCTCTTGTTTAAGCCTGTGTATAGCAGATATTAAAATACAATTCGCAGCCCCCTTTTTGTACCTAGTGCGTGTGTTTTTTACCTTGTCCTTACCTCAGTGTCGGTGGCTAGTAGTGGCTATTTACATCGCCGCTTGGCGGCGAGGAAAATTATCACTACTAGCCACCTCCACTTCGGTGAATAATTGTTATTATAGTTCGCAACATACTCGTTAATAAGCCCTCGCATCTGCCCGTTGAATTTTTCACTGTCTGTATTACATTAAAGCTTGAAAACAATAAAACACTCTAAGGGACAAATGTGACGGCGATATGTGTATGCTGCAAATGTTCACCCATCCACCCTAAGCAACAACAACTTGGTACGTGAAGCACAGTTTTGATATATTTCTCTTGCTGTCCACTGCACGGCTACGACCTCGGCCAATTTCACGTTTTATGGAGGACGTCAGACATAAGGCGACGATTTTCTTTTTCTTTTTAAAACTTGCAAACCCTCCTTAAGAATTAATTCTGTTTGACAAATCGAACGAGGTGTAATTACAAGCTCCATATTATGCTTTGACTACAATGACGTTTTTTCTCTTCAAATCCTATCAATTGCAGATAAACATTCCTTCACAGCAATGGTGTCGCCAGGGTTTTTTCCCAAAGGTACCCACAATTTTCTAACTCCCTCAGTTCTCCCTCATCGTGTAACTACCCCATCGGCCAATTTCACGTTTTATGGAAGACGTCAGACATAAGGTGACGATTTTCTTCTTCTGTTTTAAACTTACAAACCCTCCTTAAGAATTAATTCTGTTTGACATGTACAAATAGAACGGGGTGTAATTACAACCTCCATATTATGCTTTGACTACAATGACGTTTTTCCCTTCAAATCCTATCAATTGCAGATAAACATTCCTTCACAGCAATGGTGTCGCCAGGGTTATTTCCCAGAGGTGCCCACAATTTTCTAACTCCCTCAGTTCTCCCTCATCGTGTAAAAATCCCGGCCTGATTGCCTTCTCTATTCTTTTGAGTACCGTAAGTTACACAAAAATGGATGGAATGGCAAATGGGTCAAAACCTTTCTACAGTTCCTTTACCCTGCAGCTGCCCTGACCCTGCAGCTGCAAGCAGAGGTTTCTCTCTTGCGTGGCTGTTAGCGTTTTACGCCGTGTAAACAAACCAATTACGCTACAGACAAGCCAAGCTTTGGCAGGGTAAGATACTTTAGGTCCTTAAAAAACGAAGAAGAAGAAGAAGAAATTCCCTAGACATGTCACGCCTCTGATTCAAAGCGAGTTCCAAACAATTTAAACTGAAATGAAACCTCTGACTTTCGGGGTATTATTCAAAAGGTAAATATATCAAAGACTCAAATCTCTATCTATCTATCTGCTCGTTTCTGGAAAAAAAAAATTGCAATTTTTGTCCCGAAGCCTCCTTGGTTTAGATACTCAACATATTAAGTCGACGTAAACGCCACCCCCAGATAAACGCCGCCCTCGATTTAACGCCGTAGATCGAAGCAAAATTAACAATAAACGCTGCACCCAATCTGAAGAATGCAGCGTTTATTGTACTGAGGATTATCAGCAAAAACTCGGTACAACTTGGTAATCTACACCAACCAGACAATTATGATTCTATCTCAGCAAAAAGTCGAACATTACAACTTGTAATATCCCCCTGTATGATTTATCGTAATTGTTGTCAGTAATTTAACAAATGAGATTTTGAAATAAATGGCGCCCTTGAATAAACGCCGCATCAGTAACGCTTTAAATTTAATATCAAGCCTCGTTGGTTAATGAAATGAATGGGGTATGCTTGTTCTTTGTGAGAGCACTTTGAAATTGTTATAGATTATCTTAATTCTCGCTTTTAAACAAACGGCATGATAAGTAGTAAGAGCTCGGTTATCTCCAATCCAACAAGGCTTCCCGAACACGCCACGATTGGTATTCCACAGCACAAAAGGGAACAGAACCGCGCCCTATATGCCACGAAATCCGGCTATAGAACTATACGATCCTTCAAGGCTTTTAGAAATAGCTAAGCATATTTTCACAATAAACTTGACTTGACTTGACTTAATACTCTAACCTGCTTTCGGATAGCTGACTACAANCTATATGCCACGAAATCCGGCTATAGAACTATACGATCCTTCAAGGCTTTTAGAAATAGCTAAGCATATTTTCACAATAAACTTGACTTGACTTGACTTAATACTCTAACCTGCTTTCGGATAGCTGACTACAAATACGTCGTCTGACTTCGTCTTGAAGTTGACAATGTAGTCGTACAGCAACCGAGGATCGTCAGTAAAATACGCCGGAATTCTTAAGCCCATTATTTCCATCGTCTTAGTTGATCTCCATTCGCCTTTGATTTCCTGCAAGATCGGAAAGTTCGCCATGATGCTCGTGCGATGGTGTTTTATTTAACGCGACAACGTACACCAGACTCGTACCCAGCCGCTTCTCTGGCCAGAAGGGTTATCAGGGGGGGCTGGCAGCGAGGTCTGGAACCGAGTTTCCATGATCGCCCTAGTTAAGAAATTTGGCCGAGTGAGACTGAGTACCAATTTTCCTTCAAAACAAATATAGCGGAGAATGCGGACATGGAAGGATGATGAGTTTTTGCTCGGTTTTAAGTTTTACGGCGCCCAAACATCAAGAAAAGGTTTTCATGAACATTTTTCATGGAATTTTTGGACATCAGGAGGGGTGATGTATGAACAGTTCGTGAGTGACTTCACTCATTGTGATTCGGCACCTCGGCAAGTTCAGTTATTTAGAAGCTTCGTGAATTTTCGAGCGACCAGCCTGCTCCATCTCTTATATATTTTTTCACCTACAGTGGTATTAAGAACTCTCAGCCTTATCCTAAACATATGCTACGGGCTCATTATACTAGTATGAGTCTTGCAACAGTCATATGGGAATGTTCATTAAACCAATTTTGTACTTCGCTGTTCGTAAGTTTGTTTGAACACCGGGAGCCACAACAAATATTTATGGGCGTAAATACAGAATAAAGGGTTAATTTAGTAAAAGCCAGGTTAAATGTTCCAATCCCTTTGCTTCACATATACTAGGTCTGTCAGTATAAGCTATTTTTAACATCAAAAGGCTGCAGGGACGGGCTTACTGAATCTTCAAAACCTTCACTGAAATATCGTTTGAGTGATAATCAATAAATAGGTCCAACAGCAATACCGTATTTAGTAGTTTTATATTAGATAGTGACTTCGGTTTTAATTACTTCCTTGAAATTGTTTGTACAAAAATTACCCCATAGTTTTGAATTATACTTGAAATGGTTATGTTTTAGTGTGGGGACAAGAGGCTAATCCAGTTGCTAATAAGATTGAGTACATCAGAGAGGGGTATGCTCAGTATGCATTGAGAAAATCCCTCAAAGGATTCAAAGTTGAAGAAATTTAAGGACTTTTCAAGGACTCCCCCTAGAATTCAAGTACTTTTCAAGTCTGTGCGAGCCCTGTCAACGGTTTTTCTCTGAGACCATTGTGCATCGCGCAAACACCTTCGCAAGCTTTCACCTTCAAAAGCTCGAAGAATATACCTCCCGACTTTACACTTTTTTTCTTGATTGATGATCGTCTTTTATTCTCTTTCTCTCCACGAAATCATAAGCATATTTTACATAGTTTGATAAGCATTTGTTTAAATTATATACAAGGCTCGCTAAGAAGATTTTTCGCTTTATTATTAGATACAAGAATTTAAAAATTTGTGAAATTACGTACTACACTGTTAAATTTTATCAAGTCTTGACGAATCTCCACACCGCAAGGAACAACGTAACACAAGACAGTAAACTTCCTGCAATGGCAAAAACAAAAGTAGTACAGACTTGTTTTCAGAATTTAAACACAACATTGAACCCACTACATGGAAGGTTTTTGAGGTCCCGTTTTGGTGGAAAAAGCTGTCCCAGGCAGAGGAGCCATGCGCCTACCTGATCATCGGGGTAACAGCCGGTTTCGCTACTTATCGAGTTCGCTACATGTTCGTTACCGGCATGCAAATTCGCTACTTACTTCATTCTACCAACTTCGCTACGAAAGTTTCTAAACGTGTTGTGAACATTTCCACGATCTTTTAGAACCAACATCCTGTTTTAAATAACTCTTCCTTACTGAACTTGAAGAGGCGCCATGTTTTAGAATATTATCATCGAGTCCGCGCATCGCTCAGAATGGAACAGCGGCTTTTTCAAGAGAGAGAAAGCACACAACCAGTAAGGAACAGTCAAAATTACTAATTTTGCGGAACTTTCTTTATTATTAAGCTACATATTTCACAATCTAGAGTTTTTATACATGCTATAAAAACGTTCTAGACTTAACACCATCAACATAGGCAGCGAATTCGGCATGCAGGTAGCGAACATGTAGCGAGCTCGGCAAGTAGCGGAACCGGCGTTGAGCAAGAACTAAAATGGGCGAGCTAACTCTTCATATTTTCCTTATAAAACGTGGCGAACCGTTTACAAAGTTGGCTCGACTAGTAGGGTACCGCGCCTAATCGGGTCACCTTTTTGTGCTGGTGGGCTCGCCCTCCTAGCCGGGCAAACTTTACTCCATATAAACACTTTTGCTCGCCCAGTAGAGTCAACTCGGTCAAGGCGAGACAATCAGAGCTTGCGCTAGCGCTGTTGGCTCGAACGAAAGGGTCAACCTTTTTTCTCATAAACCGCCTCAGTTGACTCAGCTGGAGGGACAGATTTTTCTCAGGACATTTTTTTTTTCTGGAAAAATAACTCGATTTTTCAGCTTCTACATTTCCCTAAGCTTAAAACGTAAGATGTGAGGCAAAATCCGAGAGATTGGAGTGTATTATCTTACCTACTATATACTTGATTAAATCTAACTTTTGTGCCTCGAGTTGCGTTCCTAGTTTAGCAACCTATGGAGTGAAAACATGAGAATAGCACAGTAAAATCAGTCTTTTCTAAAAAAAGAAGTCCAAAACGAACCTTTAAGAGATTTCAAATGTAAGCTTGTTAAAAAATCGTTATTTTTTTGACAATTGGTACGTATTGAGGGAGAGCAACATAAGTTATTCTGCCCGGCTTATTGTTCTGGGTCACGCGGTCTTAGCGAATTTGTTTCCCAGCTATGTCACCGAAATGCATGACCATGAAGGACTGGCAAAACACGGTTTGAACCCCAGGTAAGAAAGGTGGGAAAAACAAGACTTCGCCTGAAGCTACGTCGCACGAGACGAATTTTCGATCGGCTGATAAATTTTACCGCACACTACGTTCACACGGGACCGTTCAATATTTTTGCTCCGTTCGCACGGCAGTTTGAACGGCTAGGCGTCTAAATTTTCGCCCGGTTAGATTAGTTATGAGTGAACGGAACACCTANGGCTGATAAATTTTACCGCACACTACGTTCACACGGGACCGTTCAATATTTTTGCTCCGTTCGCACGGCAGTTTGAACGGCTAGGCGTCTAAATTTTCGCCCGGTTAGATTAGTTATGAGTGAACGGAACACCTACACGCAGGAATTTTTAAACCGCTCGAAAATTAGTCCGGTGCCGTGTGAAGGTAGCATGAGTATCAGGCCTTCCTTAGGGGGTAGGATAGAGAAAAACGCGTTTTTCTTTTTTTTTTTTTAACGGAAGCTCCGGGCCCAGTTGTTCCAAGGCCGATTAGCACTTAACCCGGGTTTCTTTTTCTTGTGTTCAAAAGCATTCACTCGGATAATTTTCTCTGTTATTTTTAGAGCTGCCAATCATCAACTTGTAGACGAAAAGAATTAAAAACTGAAATGTTTTTAAAGCTTTCATCTGAATTTAAATTTCGCACTAACCCTGGGTTATCTTAACCCAGCTTTAAACAACTCGGCTTTGAGGTACATTGATTACATCCGCCACCATGAAAGAAATTGAAAAACTAAGGGAGGAGGGGTCAACCTCTCCCTTGGAAACATTTTTTGACTCGCTCCAACTCTCTGTCAGTTTCAACGTTAAAGATGGCGGGAGAACAAAGGTATCATCGTTTGCACGACAAAATACGCTGCTTTGCAAACAAATGCGACCTCATCATGCATATGCATGAAATTCTTTTTGTCTATCCAGAAAAAAAGGCCACTTTCTAAATTAAATGCTGGGGTAGCCTGAGAGCAAGCTCTCCGGGGTGCGCTGGCGGCGGGGCGGGAAAAGGAAGAAGAGCTTACAACTACGTCTCTGAATTTCAATATCTGCATCAAAAAAGCCGAAGCGAAATGCTTATTGGCGTTGGTGACATTAGTAATGACCTCATTACCCCTCGGCATGTGTTTTCAATGTTTGTTTACAATCGCGCTCCTTTCCGCTTCGTATGATTGGCGGAATTCTGACAGCTCACTCGACGGGAAGCCACAGGGGAATTGGGGGTGGAATTCAAATTCCAGAGACGCAGTTGCAAGCTCTCCTTCCTTTTCCTGCCCCGCCGCCAGAGCGCCCCGGAGAGCTTGCTCGCAGGCTAATGCTGGGGATATAAAAGGAACCGCGACTGGTACTCACTACATACCTCAGTTTCTATTCTGTTCTCGGTATCCTTTATTCTTTGATCTCGCACTGCAAGCTAAAATGTACAAAGCAAGACAAGAGATTTGAATAATCGTACATTCACAGGATAGGATGAATAGGGTATCAATAACAACATTCAAGTGAGGCTGGTTTCAGGTTTCCGTGGGCCTGAAAAGCTTAAAGTCGAAACTCCCGCAAGCGACCACCCAGTGCCATCTAAACCTAGCGGTCGCTTACCGAACTTGGTGGTTTATTACTAGATGAGTGTCAAAATGGGTCTCTTATAAAAAGAGCTTAATGACTGAAACTTTTTGCAGAGTTACAAAACGAGTAGTACAATGATATCAGTGATAGAAACTTTCCTTCTTTCTTCGTTTACTAGGAGTTGAAAAGTACATACAGCGCACACAAATATCATGCAAACCATGTCAACGAAACCTCCCAACAACTCCCAACCGGTTCCAAAATAACAGTGGAAACTTCAATCTCGTTTTCGGGGTCAATTCCTACTCGACCTCAGGGGCCGAGAACGAGGAGAGGACCCTGGGAATGAGGTTACCAACTCGGCCCCAAAGAGTGGTCACGGTCGCTTTCGATAAGAGAAATGTTCGTTACTAGAAGTTCAAACCACAGGGATTTGACTGCGAAATCCATTAAGCATTCAGCTAATTGTCATTTATACCCATAATTCCACTGTCCGTTTGGGTCACCTAGATCATTTAATATCTACAATCGAGTGTATATGATCTCCTAACAACTACCGTAAAATTCCGAAAATAAGCCCCAAGGCTTATATTTTTCAAAGGCCCTTTTTGGGAGGCTTATTTTTGGAGGGGCTTATCTACGGAGGGATATTTACGTTTCGAAATCGATTTATAGTTGGAAGTAAATGTATCGTTTTAGCTTTGTTTTACTTTGTATTTGAGGGCAATTTTCCAAGTACAAGCCCCCGGGGGGCTTATATTTGGAGGGACGATTTAACGAAGGGTTTTTTGCGTTACCGGTTTGGGGGGCTTATATTTGGAGGGCCTTATACAAAATGGGCTTATTTTCGGAATTTTACGGTATTCTAATAAACAAAGTATACTGAACCTCTTCTTTTATTCGACTCTTTTCCAAGCTGAAGTCTAAGGCCATTCCCCCTTTGAGTTTGGCCACCTCGTCCTAAAAAGGAAGACGTTCAGAGTCAAAACTGATTCTTGAAATTCTGACGGAAACCTTACACAATCTAATAGACAAAAACTCATGTTTCGTTACCTGTAAAATTCCTTTCAGAGAAACCACTTCACCTCTTAATTTCTTTCGCGAAAAGAAAAACAGTACAAACAAAATTAATTGTCTAGTTATTAAGATTTTGAAGGTAAATTACATCAACGTATAAACTAATACAAGCCGGGTTTCCAATGAAAAAATTATAAGTAACGTCTTGGGTTTATGTTTTTAGTTTGCTGAAAAACGGCCTGTTTCTCATATACACATATACGTTCTCATACTAGTATGTCAGTGTTTTTTAGCATTTTACACCAAAAGAATTCTTTCTTGCTTACACGAGTACTGAAAAACGTGACCACTCAAATGAATCAGTAAATATTTGAGTAAAAACACTTTTACCACACTTTTTACAAAGAAAACCATCTAAAACTTATGAATTATGTGAAGATGTTAAGTAAATCTTAAAACAACTGTCCTAGACCAATTCGGCTAACTCAACGCTGCACCCAATTCAAACACTTTGGGAATAAAACGTTTTGTTTCAGGAATTTCCATATCATTTAAATGTGACTGCCACATTATAATGCATCCCATCAAACCTCAGAAGATTAATCACACTTCAAAAACGGGTCGTAAGAATAATGTCGAGGAGTGCTTTCGATGCTCACACTGACCCCTTATATAAAAATTTAAAAAATTCTGAATCTTGAGAGTATCTACAAACTTCAAATAGGAAAATTTATGTATCAATACAGATCTGACTTACTTCCTTATAGCTTCAATAACATGTTTCTGGTGACACGCCAGGTGCATTCTTATGGCACTAGAAGTTCGGAGCATTTTTATTTACCACAATACAGGACTAATATAAGAAAGTTCTCCATCAGTTTCCAAGGTCCTAAATTTTTTAACTCTCTTAGTTTTGAAATTCGAAATGCAACAAGTACCGCTTCCTTTTGCTGTAAGCTGAAAGCATTCCTCTTATCATAAATAGTAATTTATATATATATATATTTTTTTTTTTTTTCTTCCTTTGCTCTTTTATTTTTTTTGTTTTTTTTTCTTTTTGTCATTTCGCTTTTTTTAGCCTAGAACTATGATTAGTACGACTATCTAATAAACTTATTTTAAGATCTACTGTAGCTCTGCCATTGATTTTCCCATGTGTAATTATGATAATATTTTGTTCTAATTATCTAACTGAGGGAGCCCATTCCTTATAAGCCCGGTGGCTTCTCTTGGGCTTCCTCGCCATGAGAGTTTAAGTAATTAGATTTTATTTGATTTGCATAATTTTTGGCAAATAAAACAATAAACAAATAAACAATAAACAAATACAGTACACGAAGAATCTTAACCCCGGGAGATTTGAATTGGGCACAACGTTGAGTAGCCGTATGGGGTCTATAAATTGTTATGAAAAGCTTGTTGATTTATAACTAATCAAATCTAAAATTGTTACCGTACTTGATTTTCTTCTTGAATTCGTGAAAACTTTCCTTGTTCAAGGAGAAACATTTCATTTCTGGAGGTAGAGAAAACAAATCACGAAAACATATAAAAAGAGAAAAGTAGAACAGCCTTTAGTTATTGCTTGCAAAACTCTGCCATCTACTTTTCTCGCCATAATTAAGGGCCTGTTTACATGGAGGTGGGGGACCCCAGGTAGATGAAGTAACCTGCTTAGGTGGGGTAAAAAAATAACCCTCCTTTACATGCAATCTTATAACCCCGCCATCCCGGGGTGCACTTTCTCAAGATTATTGAATGGTCGCTAAGCACGTAAACAAGAAAAATGCTGGCAAACCACGAGTTTTGGCGATTATTGCACTTCTACGCTCTCTTGTTGCTCTTGCTGCAATCTTCAGTGCTATGGCTTTCTATTGTTAGCTTTAATTATGATGAAAAGCCACCGCCAAAGTGAATTTTGCGCGAATTTGATGTATCACGAATCCGACCCCCGGCCAGGCGGGTTACCCCACCTTAAAATGCTTACATGTCAAAATTTGACCCCGACTGAGAGGGCAACCCGGTCTGGTAGACCTGGCTACCCGCCTTGGCGGGTCACCCCACTTATCATGTAAACGTGATCAAATTAAAATGAGAGATTATATGGACAGGCGGGTTACCCCACCTAAGCGAGTTACCTCACCTACCTGGGGTCCCCCACCTCCATGTAAACAGGCCCTAAAAGAAGTTTTAAGGCAACAAGTATGTCAGTCTGTAAACTTTATATCAACCGTTATTATCGTTTTTCTTTCCTTTTCTTCTTACACCATAATCTGGCCCCGGTTGTTCAAAATCTGGATAGCGCTATCCACCGGATAAGACACTATTTAGCGGATTAGCATTACGGTGATGTTACACGAGACGATTCGCAACGACGATTTTTAGCGCAACACAGCGTTGCAATGTTGGAACAATGTTGTAACCATTCGAAACAATGTCGCAACAATGTTGCAACGTTGTGTTGCGCTAAAAATCGTCGTTGCGAATCGTCCCGAGTAACATCACCTTTAGGGAAACCAATTGCATTATCCACTGGATAGTGATTTATCCAGCGGGTAGCGCTATCCACTTTTTGAACAACTGGGGCCATATTAAACCGATCGATAGATAACAAAGTAAAACAGTTGCAAAAAGTTCATCCAAAAAGATTCTCCAAAAGTCAGATAACAGGTGAATTAAAGGAAAAGAAAAGGGAAGGACACAAAGCAAAAATTAACTTTGGCTTTTATATACCCGTACTTTCAGAGCGGAAATTTAGCTGTAAATTAAACCAGCGTAGAACTCGCCTTGCATACCGGATGATTCGGCTCTTTCTGGCCAGATAGTGAACAGGGAAACTGCGTGAGTAGCTTCAGGCTAAATCTCCAAGGGCGAATGGGTAAGTAAGTCCTCTGTACACAAATGTCCTACAGTTCTGATATAGTTATACTAAAAATATTATCGGTTGCTTTGATTTTACCTTACTGTATCGACCATAGCATTAAACTTCACCTCAAGTCTCTCCTGAAAAGTTAAAAGAAAATTAAATCTCTGAAAAATCAAGAACTACAACTTTTTAGAGCCTGAAATATTTCTTTTCCTGACTAGTAATAAAATGCCAAGTCGGATCTTATACGTTGATATCAGATCACATAGATTATAACGTTCTAGTCCTTGTACAGAGCCCTCTGCCGATAGGCGTGCATACATATCGATGGGTATAAAAGATGGTTTAAAGAAATAACTGTCTTATAGTGACAACAAGAGTCAATCGAAATTGCCTGGGTAAAATACACCCATGTTGGCCACTCCACTCAGCTAGCCAATCCTTGCCTGCCAGCTGTGTAAAAAATGAATATGAGGAGGTGGGAACGTTGAAATGGAAAATTACAGACGAGTAAAATCTGTATGAAGCTGACAGTAGCCACATCTGTAGTACCCCCTGCAATTACTTACCTCATTTACTGTAAATAAAACCTCTCTTAAGTGGACACCTTAATTAAGCATACATAGACACATAAAAAGTAACTGACATGGTCATTTTTATTGTTACATGTAAAAAACTGTATTAAACAGACATTAATTTGTGATTACGCATCACCAACCAAGATGCAAGACCCCGTGCAGAAAGACTAAGATTGCAAGCCACAAGTTGTCCATTCTTATGATAAAAAAATGTAAATTTGACAAATGATGTTTTAATTTACTACAGTTCTTACAGTTATTAGATAAATTTTAAAGAAGAGTAATTAATTTAACAAATGGAAAAAATTAAAACTTTCTTGCAAATGAAATTGAGCAGGTGTCTATGCATGCAATAAAGTTTGTTCTAGACTTGCAATTTCTGCAGCCAATTTTGTTAGCTGAAGGGATTTTACTTCGAAGGGTAGAAAAAGACTTAAGACATACACTCAGTCTTAACTGTTGACTCAAAAGAGTCTTGCACCTCTGTAACCAGCGTGCAAAGAAAGTAGTGTATGATAGCCCGGGACTAGTGGATTTTACTATTAGGCTAGTGAATTCTGTTTTTAACTTGCCCAACAGGCAAGTGATGTGTTTTGAGGAATTCGAATAAAAAGAACTGTGTAATCAATTCTGCTCGTCAAAAAGCTTTTGGGGCTAGTTGAAATGTCGTCTGAGCTAGTAAATGCTAGCTTCAGCTTGCCCGAATGGCAAGGTGTAAAAATGATTATCTTTGTACCCTGGTAACTGTTGGCAAACCTCGAACTTGTCACAAACATTGGGGCTCAAAAAAACAGCCAGTCAACTGACATTATGTCCAGCTAGAATAGCAATTAACTTGTCTGGCCAAAAACTTTGTTTGCAGGTAATGTTGACCAGTCATGCACACTCTCATTCATAAATCAACATCCAAATCCTCACTAGTAAATCTTAGAAATTTGCTTCCTTTAAAACATAAGGATGAGTTAACTTTTTTCCCGATATTGTGAAAAATTTCTTTGGCTGGTCATTGTGTGGCCGGTTACCATCTGGAAAATTAATAACCTAAGAGAAAATGCCTTGAACTTAAAACAAATTCTATCAATTCATTGTTTAAGGAAATGTATGAAGATCAGTTTGGAGAATTTGTATGTGGATATTGAAGCTTAAAGGGTTAACCAGCTCAGCTCATAAACTGTATTTTTTTCACCTGATCTATCTTTGACACAGTGCTGTTTGCCACACTGTGAACACTTGATGTGATTATGTCAACCAAAGAAGCTGTCAAACTTTCAGCTTGAACTTCACTAAAACCTAAAATCAATAGAAATAAATAACAATTAAACTTTCCTTTGCCACTTATTATTAAGTAATAGGAAGACTGTTCACCACCCTCCAAGTTTTTGTACTTATATTTTGATGAATGTATGAATGAACTGGGCATAGGGGCTGTCAATACGGTGCATAAGGTAGTGGGAATGGGGAGCTCTTACCTACCCCCCCTTCCAAAACCTATTGGACTTTATGCTCAGTTGCTGATTTTCAGAGCTTATTAGAAGCCTATTAATTAGAAGCTTATACAGGCTTTGAGTGTCTTCACCCATCATAAGTACCAGTAACCAATATAAAGGAATTTTGATGTTAACAACTGTATCGCTAAAATGGAGGTTGGGTGCCTGGAGTATCCAGAGGCTATTCTACTTTTGGTAGCCAGCCCCTAGACTGAATAACGTCCCCATGCCTGGGATAAAGGTGCAACCTAGCCATGAGCCCTCTCAAAAATAGGACACAAAAAACAAGCACCCACCACACTGAAAAAATATCACTAGGGAGCTTAAGCATCAATGTACGACGGCGGCGGCTACGAAAACGTGATTTAAAAAGAAAATGCATGCAGCCTCAAACTTTATTGCGCTTATTCCATCTAGTGTTTAATTCATCAAATGTTGGCAAAAATTTTTTTGGAGTTGAATTCTAAAGGATGTATCAAAGTTCAGGACAGAATAAGAAAGTCGTTGTCTTGTGTTCCTGTCCTCGATAAAACGTGAAATTAGGCATTATCATGTTGTAGTCGTGGCGGCTAAGAAATGTACGAAAAAGCATGATGCATGCGCAAAGTTCTTGTTTTGCCAAATCTAAACCTACTGCTTTTTTGCTGTTCTCATTGCTGTTCATGTCATCATTGCTTAAGCTCCCTACTAAACTACAGGAAGGGAAGGGGGAAGAAAAAATTGGCTCAAAGAAACCTCATGGCAAGAACAATGTAGCGTAAAGAAAACTCTACACACCCCTGGATCACATGAAGGATGTAGCAAACTACCTGGCATACACAGGCAACTGACTGCAGATTCACCAGCAGTGAAGATGCTATTGGTTGTTAACTCCTTTAAATTGCATTCAAATGCATTATTATCACTTTCAATGTGTTACAAAGACAAATTTTAGCTCCCCCAAGACCTACAATTGAAGACTTACCTTTTTGCTTCATGAAGAAGCAAGACATAAGATTTACAAAAGAAAAATATATAAAAACCATTATCTTGTAGTCTCTTGACAAGTTTGTGTGTATCAAAATGAAAAATTATTCCACCGGGAGTGATGTAGGAGGAGTTTGACTTTGATCGTTTCCAGCTACCTAGAAAAATATATAACAACAAAAACAACTTCTTGTAACAGTACAGTATTAATTAATTGATTTATTATTATTTACCAGATTTTCTGGACACAGACCTGCCCAGAGGAAATGTGCCCGATCAGGACTCAGGTCCCATGCGAGGTGCCATCCCTAGCCAATCCCACAACCCGTAAAGGTTGGCCACACCACTGCAGTCTACGACCCCTACTCTTTTCGAATAGTGGAGAAATCATGAATTTATTAATGATGGTTAATTAACCAGTAAAAGAGATATCGAATTTTCCTTATAATCGACCGCGTGGTCTGGAGTCTCATCTTTTGTAAGATCTGGAGAGACCTTGGCGTAAGCTCTTATACCCACCTCTCCCACCAGGCTAATATTTTTACGATTTTGTATTTTCAATTTTCACCTTTCTTAGTTTTCCTAGTCCTAGTTTTTTTCCTGTTCATTGTCCAGATATCGGTCTTGCAGTTGTTTAGCACTGTTCAATAAACTCATTTTGCCCAAACTGTTATGTCATCTCGGTAACGTGGGTTGATTAGGTGGGTTCTTTTATGTCCCACAAGAACAAATCAGTGAAAGTGCTGTGAGACGGGACCTACGCTTAAGTCTTCCTGTTTGCTTGATTGAAACGTGATGTTCACGAAAGTCGCCTCGATGGATAAGATAGAGTTAATATACATGGCTGGGGTATTTGTTTTTTGCTGAGTCCCGTAGTTTGTTGTAAATTGTCCGGCAAAGTTGCCTCAAATTAACGTCTTGAAAAGTGTCACGACATGCCTTCGGTCGAGTGAAATTTAATTTCCGTAAAACTCTGAAAAATAAAGAGATCAGATCAAACGGATTGTGGTGTTAGTATAGGTACATGAATGTCTTACAACACACAAGAAATGAGCTAAATCTGTGTGTCAAGGAAAATCGACCGGACCGCTCTTACAGAGACACTCTCTTAATATACGTTGCGGCGCTTATTCGCGTAAATACGGTACTAAGGGGTATTACTATCCTTTTAAGCGCCGCCCTCAAATAAGCGCCGCATTTTGGAGAAAAAATATAATAAGCTTCGGTACATTTCCTCATGCACTGTGTAACTTGGCTTTACAAGTAAAATTGCTTGTAAAGGGACAAAACTGAAAGAAAACTTTTAAGCCCTAAAACGTTTTTCATACTTCATTTTTGTTAAAGAAATTTACTGCAAAAACCGTGGACGAAGATCCTGTTGCTTGTCAACGTTGGATCTCTAGAAAAGAGATCTAATCAGCTAAAATATTTAGAAATTAACAAGAAACGAGAAGTCTTTTACATGGAGGTGGGGGATCCCAGATAGGTGAGGTAACATGCGGCGGGTCACCCACCTATCATGTAAACATGATCAAATTAAAAATGAGAGATTATGTGGACAGGCGGGTTACCCACCAAGGCGGGTTACCTCACCTACCTAGGGTCCCCCATCTCCATGTAAACAGGCCCTAAAGACTGCTGCACAGCTGATACTACCTGAGGGACACCAGGTAGGTGAGGAAACCCGCTTTGGTTGGTAACCCGCCTCTCCACATAATCTCTCATTTTAATTTGATCATGTTTACATGATACCTGGGGTGACCCGCCACATGTTACCTCACCTATCTGGGATCCCCCACCTCCATGTAAACAGGCCCTAAAGACTACTGCACAGCTGATAACAACGTTTACAAATAACTAAGATAGTACGCGCGCTCTGATTGGCCGAGAGATGTGTTTGCATGAGAGTATGTAAACACGTGTGGAGTCAAGATGTTTTGCTCTTCCCGCGCTAATCACAAAAGCACAAATTTTAAAAAGTTTTTGAGTTGAAAACTCGACAAATTTACCTTATTTACCCATTCCCTCGTCGGATGAAACTTGGAAAGTCTTTACAAACCTGCTGTACCAATTTTTTTTCGCTTAAGCTGACACAGTTTAAGCGAGAAAAACCCTTTTATTGAAAGCATCTTTACTGCAAAACAAGAACTGATTACACGTTCATTAAGCTTCGTGTACAAGACTTCGCGACTGGCAAGAATTTCTCTTTTAATCAGTAACCTAAACAAAGAGTTTTTCTTTTTTCTCGGGAATATTAATAAAAACAATTGAAAACTTTTATCCTGTGTTTGCATAGCCTGATATAAACACTCGAGGGGCTGGAAGAATTCTTGAAAGTTATGCAAACCCGAGACGACGTCAAGGGTTTGCATGACTGTCTCGAATTCTTCCAACCCCTCGAGTGTTTATATCAGGCTATGCAAACACAGGAAGAAAGTTTTCTATTGCTAAAATATTGCTTTCTTTTAAAAAAATACTGTTACTTTGCCGTTTACAAGTAATTTATTTGTAAACGTTAAGTTTCACAGTGCATAATTAAATTTACCGAATTTATATGAATTAGCGCCGCGGCGCTTATTAACTTTTTTCTCCAAAAAGGCGGCGCTTATTTGAGAGCGGAGCTTAATACCACAGTAATACGGCTACGTACCGTATTTACATGAATAAGCGACGCGGCGCTAATTAACTCTCCCCCCCCCCCAACAAGGCGGCGCTTATTCGAGTAATTACTGTAATTGACAACTTAAGAGTTTATTAAATTTAGGGCAAATTGTTATTACATTTAGGACTTTATTTGCCTAGTTCCTAGGCCTCATTATTCCGCGCGGCCAAAGCGTATCGGGTCACGTGGTCCATGTGAAAATGCGAGGCCGTTTCCCGCCCGTTCGCCTCGGATTCGTCACCGAAACGAATTGACCGAGAGGGACTGGGAAAACGCCGTACAGGGACTAGGCAACGACTTTATTACATTTAGGACAAAATGTTATTAAATTTAGGGTCGTAATTACATTTAGGCCTTCTACACGCGGTTATCCTAAAAAGTATATGGGAAGTTCGTTGTCAAAAGATTAACCTTGACTAAAGACAATAGGTGCTCAAACTGAAAAGCAAAAAAGGTAAAGAGAGACTATTGCCTTTGGTTACTATCTATCACCCAGCGGTACAAGATATTAAAACGCTCGTGCAAACTGGAGTCATATAGAAAATCAGCATCTGCTGAAAACAATTTTTAAAAAACCTCCGATCATATCCTACAAAACAGGTAAACCTCTAACGGACATGCTTGCTTGTAAGAGGCAAAAATATCACTCAGTGAAGGCTTTTATACTGCGTCGCAACCACAAAAACCACATTGGGAGTCCGTGCAGTTCTATCTTTGACTTCCTTTCAATGAAGAAATGTGATTACGTGACAGTGCTAGAACAATTCATTTGTAAATGCGCGTGCAAGCGAGTTTATTAAAGGCCATGATGTCCCGATGTTTGGATGTCACCTGGCTCTTGCAAGGCTCGAATCAAAGAAGTACTTTGGTCTACTACTTCAGCAAGCACGTAGTTTGCTGCATAGCCGTTTTTAATGTCGTTACGCAACGCTCCTCCCCTGCGTTGCGTGACGACACTAAAAACGGCTGTGTAGCAGACCACATGCACTGAGGCTTATTTATTTTATGCAACTTTGAGGGGGTCTCATTTGAGAGGGGGGCTTGATTAATTGATTGCTTTTTTAAAGAAAAGAAAGATGGTACCAATTCTTCATAAAGAAGTAGGACGCAAGGTGGAAATGCTCAAACACACCACGTTAAAGGTCTTGCAGCCAAACATCTAAACAAATCCGAACCTCCAGCACATGACTAAACGAAACCGGTGTTCCACTTAGTAAATTAACACCAGCTCTCTGAAGACCAGCAGACGATACACCCATTTTTATTTCATTAAAGTGGTTGACAGATTCTTTTCAAAGTTCGATACAATCTGGCAAAAATTATATTACAGCGGTTCTTATCAAATCTCTTATTCCTGGCTCTGGAGCAAACGAATCATTTCATAGTCTCCCCAAAGTGTTAAGAGGCCTCTTCTGTAATTTCGAATATATTCAATGAAAACAAGTTTGCTACATTTCAAACTCTAATCCAGTTCCGTCTAATTTTGCTAACAATTCCTTGTCAAATCTCTCACTTTGCTCTGGAGTAAAGTAATTCTTCCAGTCTCCCACCACGCCCTTTCGCNCGGCTACGTACCGTATTTACATGAATAAGCGACGCGGCGCTAATTAACTCTCCCCCCCCCCCAACAAGGCGGCGCTTATTCGAGTAATTACTGTAATTGACAACTTAAGAGTTTATTAAATTTAGGGCAAATTGTTATTACATTTAGGACTTTATTTGCCTAGTTCCTAGGCCTCATTATTCCGCGCGGCCAAAGCGTATCGGGTCACGTGGTCCATGTGAAAATGCGAGGCCGTTTCCCGCCCGTTCGCCTCGGATTCGTCACCGAAACGAATTGACCGAGAGGGACTGGGAAAACGCCGTACAGGGACTAGGCAACGACTTTATTACATTTAGGACAAAATGTTATTAAATTTAGGGTCGTAATTACATTTAGGCCTTCTACACGCGGTTATCCTAAAAAGTATATGGGAAGTTCGTTGTCAAAAGATTAACCTTGACTAAAGACAATAGGTGCTCAAACTGAAAAGCAAAAAAGGTAAAGAGAGACTATTGCCTTTGGTTACTATCTATCACCCAGCGGTACAAGATATTAAAACGCTCGTGCAAACTGGAGTCATATAGAAAATCAGCATCTGCTGAAAACAATTTTTAAAAAACCTCCGATCATATCCTACAAAACAGGTAAACCTCTAACGGACATGCTTGCTTGTAAGAGGCAAAAATATCACTCAGTGAAGGCTTTTATACTGCGTCGCAACCACAAAAACCACATTGGGAGTCCGTGCAGTTCTATCTTTGACTTCCTTTCAATGAAGAAATGTGATTACGTGACAGTGCTAGAACAATTCATTTGTAAATGCGCGTGCAAGCGAGTTTATTAAAGGCCATGATGTCCCGATGTTTGGATGTCACCTGGCTCTTGCAAGGCTCGAATCAAAGAAGTACTTTGGTCTACTACTTCAGCAAGCACGTAGTTTGCTGCATAGCCGTTTTTAAT